ACGCGGCGGGGAGGGGACGGACCAGGAATTATTTTTTTTTCTTTGTTTCCCGGGGAAAAAAAAAAAAAACCGGAGCAAAAAAAAAAAAAAGGGGGTGAGGAAGGTAAAATAAAATAAAAAAAAATATAGACCCGGGAAAAAAGGAAAAAAAATAAAATAATAATAATAAAAAAAAACCAACAAGAAGCCGCGTCGCGAACCCCCGGCGGGGGCGGATGGTGCTGCCGTGAGCGGGGCGGGCCGGGCCGCGCCGGGCCGGCGGGATGAAGCGGCGGAGCGCGGACTGCAGCAAACTGCGGCGGCCGCTCAAGCGGAACCGCATCACCGAGGGCATCTACGGCAGGTACCGAGCGGCGCGGGGACAGCGGCCCTGTCACCCCCCCCACACACCCCCCTCACAGCGGCCCCGCCACCGCCGCGGGCCCCCCGCGCGCTTCCAGGGCGGGGGAGCTGCTGGCCAAGGTGCTGCCGGGGGGGAGGGAGCCGCCCTTGGGGGGTTCGCGCACGGCGCGGGGGCCTTCGCCGTGTGTGTCCCCCCGCCCTTCCCCGGGGGTGGTTTCTCGGCGGGGTCTCGCAGCTGGAGGGTCCCGGAGGTGCCGCTCGCTGCGGCTTCACCTGCACGGCCCGGGGAGGCTCCGCGGCGGGGTCTGGGGGTTCCCGGAGGTGCCAAAGCTCCGAGCCGTTCGCTGCGGCTTCACCTGGGGAGGTTTTTCCAGCAGGATCTCGCAGCTGGGCGTTTCTAGAGGTGCCAAAGCTCAGAGCCACTTGCTGCGGCTTCACCTGTATCTCCCCCGGGCGGGGGGGGGTGGTGGTGTCGTGTTTGGGGGTTCCCAGAGGTGCCAGAGCTCCGAGCCACTGGCTGTGGCTTCACCTGGGGAGGTTTTCCCAGCAGGATCTCACAGCTGGGCATTTCTAGAGGTGCCAAAGCTCAGAGCCACCCGCTGCGGCTTCACCTGTATCTCCCCCAGGAGGTTTCCCGGCGGGGTCTCATGTCTGAGGCTTCCTAGAGGTGCCAAAGCTCCCGCAGCTTCACCTGGCGAGGTTTTCCCAGCAGGGTCTCACAGCTGGGTGTTCCCAGAGGTGCCACTCGCTGCAGCTTCACCTTTATCTCCCCTGGGAAGTTTCGCAGCGGGGTCTCATGTCTGGGGCTTCCCAGAGGTGCCAAAACTCCAAGCCTCACGCTGCAGCTCCACCCGGGGAGGTTTTCCCAGCTGGGGGTTCCCAGAGGTTCCAAAGCTCTGAGTTACTCGCTGCAGCTTCACCTGTTTCTCCCCGGGGAGGTTCCTCAGTGGGATCTCATGTCTGGGCATTCCCAGAGGTGCCAAAGCTCAGAGCCCACACCTTGCAGTGGTTCAGCAGCTGGTGGAGCAGGAGAACGTCTGGGCTGGTGGCTCAGCCCTCTCGTGCAAAGGTTAAGAAAGTTGTTTTTCACGTGGTGATGGAGGTGCCTGTGCTGCAGGTCTGCAGTGGGAGCACATGAGAGCCTGGGGTGTAGCAGTGAGGGATGTGAGCAGGAATTTGGGTGGAAGATGCCGGGAACAGGGGTGGATGGTCTGGTGGTGGTGGGACCACAGCAGGTACCCAGCTCATCTCTGACCTCTGGGATGAGAAAAGGAGTAGTAGTGAAGTGAGATTCACGTGGGATGTGTCTGGGAATGCTTTCCAGGTGTCTGCATGCAGAATGCACTAAAACACTGATCCCTGCAGTTCCAGCACAGCTGTGAGCTTATTTTGAAGAGTTTTTTACAACTCTGCCCTCCCGAGTACGCAAAATTTTATACGAAATACAACAATTATGTATTTGTGAATAAAGAGGAGTTTGGGTCAGAAGAGGCTTTGAAGCTGCCTTGTGGAAGTTGTAGTAAGTGTGGTGGCCCATTTCTGTTTCTAGTTCCGTGAGGTTGATGTATGCAGAGCCTGGAAACTTGAGCAAGCTCATACAATTCAGATGTTAACTTTGCATAAAGGAAACAGCTGATAGGGAGCTCTGACTGGAATAAAATTGTCACAGTGTGCTGCTTATCCTACTTGTAGTGAATCTCTACACGAGAGCACTCTAAAACCCTTGTTTTAGACTTCCAGGTTTTGAGAAAATGCTGCTTGTGAAGAGCAACATCCCTTGTGTAGAAATTCATATTCTAGATGACTGGTCTTGGGAGAATAATTCAGATATGTAAGGAATTGCTTATAATTACTTAGTTTTCAGAAGCCATTCACAATGATGTGCCTTTGAGGTGACTGGCAGGGAAGGTGGGGTTGGGAGAGGGAGGGCAAACCAGAATAAGATGAGAAGAACAGCAGGTGATGAGTGTGTGCAGCAGGTAGAGCTGCTGTAGGTGTGTGAACAGCTCTGGCTTCTTGCACAGACTTCTCCTGGAATGTTACAGTGCAGAAATGGGATTTTTAGTCTTTGTTTCACGTGGCATTTTGATAAACAGAAATAACCAGTGTCTTCAAAGTATTAGCACACAGAAAGAAAAGAGAAATAGTGTGAAGGCTCTTCTCTGTAAGCCTAACCAGAGGGAGGTGCTTCCACATGGATTGTGGCTCTTTCTCTTATTTTTCTTGCTTTCCTTTTGCTTTTTCTCCTTTTTTTTTTTTCTCTTTGCCCCCCATAATTCGAAGAGATCACATGCAGGTAACTTCTCACGGAACTATAGATGCCTAAATTCATGTAATTACTGTAGTTATTTACTCAGCTTATCTTAATTGTCACCATCAGCTAACACAAGCCCAGTAAATACAGTTATCGGGAGGTCCCATCATGATGTTAAAAGCAAAGCATCGAGGCTGAGCAAACAGCAGGATTGGGATACTTAACTCTTGTAGGATTTTTGTTTGCTTTTTAAATTAAGACTAATCTTCCCATCCTTGTTCCCTCTGCAGTCTTTGAAAGCAGCTGTCACTAACAGACACGTGGGAGCGTAGTTGAGAGCTGGGAAACTGGAAGAGTTTTGGAGCAGGTGAAGCAAAGAAGGAATTGTCCTGCAGTGAAGCTCTGGTGCACGTGTAAATCTGCAGCAGATTTTAAGAAGCGATAGAAAAATAATTTCTAGTCACAGAACAGAGTTAGAAATACAAAATCCTGGGCTGCACTGAAAAATGTGAATAACCTGCCTCCCTGAACGTTAATTTTTGCCACTTTGTGGAGTTTGTTGTTTTTAACAAGTTGATCTAAGGGTTCACAGCCTACAGTGTTGTTCTTTAAAATACTTTCCCCAGCGTTCACTACCTAAATTAAATGGTAGCCTTTCATAAATGCTTTCAAAGTTACTCCTGACCAATCTTCCCCCCTTCCCCTCCCAATTTTCAACAGCTGCCCTCCCTATTCTTCTTTAGACCTCTTCTTCCATTCACTTGTTTTTTCTTCCTTCTCCTTTCTTCCTTTTTCACCCCTTCTTTCTTTTCAGTTTGGTTTTACTCCCTGTTTACAGCTCTAAGGTACTTGGGCCTGTGTGACAAACCTGATAAATCCCACTCTAATATTATGTGCAAAGACTTTTGCTATTTGGAAGTATTGCAGTATCTGTGGAAAGAACATTAATATAATCAAAAATAACTGTGCTTTCAATAGATCACTAATGGTAGGAATCTTGAGATCTTTTATTATTTCCACAGTGTGTGTTCCAACCTTTGCCTGTTCATTTGTAAAACAATGGCAATGGATAGCTGAAAAATGCTGAAGTGATTAACATCTTATACCTTTGGCAGTGTGCACACATTAAAACCTTAATTGTTAATTAAAGTGTTCACTGCAGCTTGTCATCAGTTAAGCAATTAAGGTTTACTTGTTACTGCTTGTTCCTAACTCTTCCCAGTCCTCATCCTTCATCTATTTAAAATCCTTCAGCTTTATTGCTGATACTGCTTGTTTTGGCTCTACTGAGTCATATTGGCACTTGGTACCAATTCTGTAGCTGGTGAAGTTTCAAGATGAATTCCACATGTGATTTGCTTTAACTTAGGCTGTCACATCAGCTGATTGATGCTGCATCATGGATTCCCTGACAATGGCCCTTAAATGCTGCATGTTCCTTTGGAATCAGGATTTATTTTTTTTTCTCTGGATGTAAATTGCTCTTTATCACAGGCAGTACCTGGGCTGGCAGCCAAGAGGGTGCCAGGGAGGAGGGGTGGGGGGGTGTGTGTCTGATCTCCAAGTGGTCCTGAGATGCCCACCACTGGCACAAGGGCAGAATTTCTGGATACCACGACCCTCAAGGTCCTCCTGGTTCCCTCTGCCACCGAAATCCTGACAGGGCTGATTTCCAGGGACTCGCTTTTTGACTCTGCTGACAGCCAAATAAATTGTAGCAGTTCATTACTACCTCCAGGAATGTGGCTTTTTTAGGCTTTTCTTAAAAATCCATAATGATTCTTCCTGCTGATTTATTCTGGCACCTTTTTTTTTTTTTTTTATAAGCTTCCTATACAGGATAAAACATTTTCTTCTGCAGCTGCCCCGGAGGTCTGTAACAAAGCAGCAGAGCTGCCTTTTATGACTTGAACTTAAATCCAGGTCTCAAATCTAATTTAGCCTACATTTAAATGTGTTCTACTGTGTCAACCCCAATGGTACATGTAATATCACTTCCCTCTGCCCGTGACTTTCACTCCCTGCACTCACTGTGGCTCCTTTAGCTTTATTTTGTGCTCTGGACACTGGTGTTTTCAGGCTGACAGTGCCTCTTGTTTCAGCACCACAATGCTGATTGCTGATTATATCCCTGTGCTTCAGCTTCCAGAACTGCTGTAAGAATTTCCTATTTTGTCTTCCTTCCCTTACACTTCCATAGTTCAGTAATGGATATATTCTATGCCAAGACACTGAATAAGTAGTCAGGGATGTTTTCTGGGATTCTTTACATTTCTCTTCCTTTCCAAATATTTAGTTGGCAAGGATCTCCCATGATAGTTTCCAGTGCACATACCACATCCCAGCAGTCCTGTTTTCTCCCTTGCATACTTGCTGTGCTCATTCTGTCCTGCTTCTTTTGTCCACTAGTAATAATCTTATATAGATGTATTTGTGTGTTTGCATATATAAAGCTTTTTTTTATTTGCAAATCTCCAGCATTCTCAGTATTGTGGCTGGTGTTGGATGGGTAACCTGGAGGGGGGGGGTTGTTGCCTGTTTGGTGATTCCACACAAATGCTAAATTTCAGCTTTCTAAACCCTACCTGTGAGTTTGGCACCCACTCCATTGTCTTGGATGAGTCAGGCTGCAAAATGAAACCTGCCATCAGTTCTGCCAACATTCCCTTTCCGGCCCTTGGGCCTTGCTGATAATAGTGGGATAGAATGGAGGCTTAATTTGCCACCACTTTGGGTTTGGGGTGCATAATTGGTTCCTTTTCAAGTGATTTTTTTGCAATATTTTTACCTTGCAGCAAGCACAATATCTGCTTTGGGGGCAGTAAAAAGAGAACAAAGAACAAGAGAGGGGAAAAAAAAAAGGAGGAAAAAAAAAAGAAAGGAAATGGCATCTGGCACTTGAAGGGGGAGGAAGAATAAGGAGGAAAATTATTTGTTTGAAAATGCAAAGGGGGAGCACAGCCACTGTTGGGTTATGAATAAATCTTTATATTCAGTGTACATTAGCAATCAATTGACCTCTCAGAGAATTTGCAGCACTGTAATCACTGCTCCTCCCCGTTTGGTGCCCTGCTCCTCTCATGGATGTGTCCACCCTTCCCTCTTTTCCTTTATTACCCTCCAGGATTAGATGCCATATGCTGGTTTGTAGGGAGAGCCCTGTCCTTAAACCTCTGTCAGGTCACCGAGGCCAGATTTTTTGACATGTGTCAGAAAATTGGATAACCCAGGTTTTAGGTGTTTATCTGCAAGAATCTTTCCCTGTATTAAGAACCAACTCAGAATTATAATTGGCATCGTGGAATATATTTGAGCCTCTCTAATAAAAAGGTTACAGGGGTTAGGAAGCATTTCAGCCTGGTGAGTGTTATGTGGGAGTGGGGGCAGGCACAGCAGTGATCAGAATTGGAGAAATGTGTGATGAACCCAGAGAGATCAATGACTGTCAGAGGTTCCCAGGCACCAAATGGCTGGTGCTGGATTCCAAAGGAGATGGATAACAACAGGAATGCCTGTGTCTGGAAGGAATCAAGGGATTCAAGAGCAGTAGAAGTGGCTGGTACAAAGCAGAGGAAGGGAGGAGGCTGTTGCTATATTTTGTTAGTTGTTTCATTCATGTGATGCTGTTTGAATGGTGCTGTCTGAGGCAGAACAGCAGCAGGGATCAGCCTGTCAAACCAGGGCCCTGTGCCTGCTTTTCTCGGGGTTTAATTCCTGCTGGACGTATTTCAGCTCTCACTAATTTAAGCCTTGGCTGGCGAGGTGTCAGTTCACTTGTAAATGAAGTGCTGGGCTGCCGTGCTTGCCAGGACAGCAAAGCTCGGTGCAGCACACCTTTAGGGATGCAGGGATGCTGAGATTTGTGAGCCTCCCTCCTCTCCCAAGGCTCATTCCCTCTGCAGGCTGCAGAGTGCGGCAGAGGCACCGAGCTGGGTGGCACCGGTGGCACCGGGGGAGCTCTGCAGTTTGGAACACCCTCTTTGGAGGCTCCTGATGCCAATATCAGCTTTTAAAGCCGGGCTGGAGCGTTGAGTTCTGACCCTGCAGTGCTGTGGCTTTAGTTGGAGGGGCTGATGTAAAAAAAAAAACCCAAATAATTCATGGAATGTAGTACCTTTAAATTGATTTCTGTGAATGTCTGCATGTAGAATCAAAGAGTTCAAGGCGTGTGTAGAATATATTACACAGCAGTGAATTTGTTGCTGAGGCCAACATAAGTGGATGAACTCTTTTATAAAAGGAGTAACTTTCTTGTGTCTTTGTACTCATGGAATTCTGAATTGCTCTCGAGTCCTTCAGATGACTGAGAAGTAGCCTCTTTAATATTGTTGGCAAAACCTTGTTACAAACGTTGTATTGTTCCAATTCCACTTTAAAAGGTGGTAAATGTCACCGTGGCCCCTGGATGGATATGAATTTAATATTAGAAATCACTTTAATGGCTGTATTACAGAACTCTTATTCAGCAAATGCTTTAACTTAGAGTGGCACTTAACAGTGGAGAAGCATTAGTTCTGACAGCCCTAATTTGCTTGGAAACATGTAGTCTCCTCATGGATTTCAGTGGCAGGAAAATAAACACTGGCCATCAGTTTAACCCAGGGAAAGGTGCCTGCACAACACAACTGCTTTTCCAGCAAAACAGGCAGAATAAGGATTGCCTGGCTGGGATTCTTTTAGATATTTCCTCAAATTTTAAAAAGCTGCACATGCCCAGTTCCCCAGCGTGCTCAGTGTGAGCAGAGTGGTGACTCTGTACCCCAGTGTCTGTCACCTTTAATGTCAGAGTATTCTCTGAATGCAGCTGCTTTTTATAGATTTCTGTTGAAGATCTGAACTTTAGATAAACAGAGAACAGCAGCATGTGCAGGCTTTATCTACCAGGACTTGACCATTTAGGGTTTCTTTGGTGGGCTTTGGTTGGTTGGGTTTTGTTGTGGGTTCCTTCGCTGGGTTTGAAGGAGTTTTTTTAATACTTCTACTGCAGTTTCATTCTTCTCAAAGAGTAATTTTTAACTAAGTGGCTGGGAATGGTTCCATAAGAACTGAAAAAAGCAGCACCTTAACTTTTCCAAGTGTGTGTGTCATTAATTTTGTTTCCATTAAATTAAAGTGCTTCCTGTAGCCTCTTGCTTTGTTTTTTTCAGTGCCATTAAGCTGATAAGGGTCACTTTCAGGCACATGCAATTAATCTTTGATTCCCAAGAAATCAAAGTGTTCTCCCAGTCGTGGGATCTGGAACCTGACCCTGTGTGACAAGTAACATGAGTGATAATTGCACGAGGAGTTCGGTTGTTTCTGAACCTCTGCTGGTCCCCAACACTCTCCATGGAAGTTTTCTATTTTCTATCTTATCCAAAGCTCTGAACAACTTCCTAAAAAAGCCCCATGTCCATGAACAGTGCAGAAACTTGACCCTACCTGGCACTGTGAGTGCAAACCCTTGGCAGCTTCTCAGTGAACATTCCAGGGCAAAGTTCTCCTGGTTTTGTTGGCAGAAGAAGTTACTGAAAGGAAAAACTGCAAAACAAAAATACATTTTTAAGCCCCCATTTCTGTTATGACCCAGGAGAGTGCAGTGAGGTATTGGGCAGCTGGAGTGACATGCTGGATCTCTGGGTTTTGGGGGAAAAGGGGTTTTTGCTGCTTCTTTTTTAGAAGAATGGATTGGGCTGATCCCTGGAGTGTTAGTTAGGTATGAGCTCAGAATATTTTTGAGCTCTGTAGCCATCAGTGGTTCAAAATGCAGGACTAAGAATTTGGGAATGTGGCTTTGAAATAATTTTAAAAAATAGAAATTAGGCTGTCTGGTCTCAAGTCTCTCAGTTTTTCTGTTGTTATTTGTTTTTTAATGGATCCATTGATATTGATACAGATGTTTTCAAACATAACACTGACAACTCTCTATCAAAACAGGCTTCCTGATGGCTGTAGTTATAGGCTTAAAATATATCTCAATTTATTGGTGTTAAATGTGCAAAAGGAGTGAACATCTGCAGTCTGGTGAGGAGAGGGAACACAGAAATTTCTGAGCTCCCAAGTGCAAGAAGGGAAACATTTCAGCTGATCCCACACCTGTTGGCAAGGCTTCACTTTGTGAAAATGCTCTGGAAAGCAAAAGGGAGACTTGCTGGATGTCTTGTAAGAGCAGTGAACCTCCTGTTTATTTGCTGCTTGAAGAATAAATGCAGTTAAATATTCAACTTCATTAGACCAGGCCTGATTTTAACGTCCTAATAAACCCACTTATTTTATAAAATCAGTTTGGATGAAATTTCCCTTCTTTTATAATAGGTTTTATTCCTGAAGAACATGTAATTAAAAAAATTTTTTTAAATGAAAGTAAGCTTCACTATTGGAAATACTGACCTGAAATGACCTTTTCCTTTTTTCCCCCCCAGTACTTTCCTGTACCTGAAGTTCCTGGTGGTGTGGGCACTTGTGCTGTTGGCAGATTTTGTCCTGGAGTTCAGATTTGAGTATCTGTGGCCATTCTGGCTCTTCATCAGGAGTGTTTACGATTCCTTCAGATACCAGGGTTTGGTGAGTATAACACAAAGTCCCTTTGAAGGGAAATCTCCAAGGTTTCAGGGAATATTCCTTCTTATACAAGTGGCTTAATGGCACTGATGATCCACTGCACAAGATTTTCAAGTGACTGGGTGCCCTGGGCTCAGATCTCTTCTCTCTGACTGCATGTTTGATCTGTGGCAAGTGCAAGTGAAATAAATATCAAATTTTCACCATAGAAAAATATATTTTAAATTACTAAGTTGGATTTGAATTAGTGAGATATATACATCTATAACCCTATATGTATATATAGATGTGTATATATATATATATATACACACATAGATAGACATAAAAAATATAACCCTCTCTCTCTCTTAAACCCTATATATAGCCATATATATATATATATATATATATAAAACCACATATATATATATGCCTAGATAGCAGGGTTTTCTTTAAAATAAAACAGAAACTTGCCAGTTTAGATATTTACTGCTTTTTCAGAGAGTAAATGGCCCTGATAGTTGGTTGGGTGGGTGGTTTCTTTTCTAGAAGGAGAATATACCTGTGATTCTACTATAGATCAACAGTGTGAGTTAAAGTGTTCAAACAAAATAAGAAGGGATAAATGTAACTGTTTGGAGACTTGTTGGAAGAGTGGATGGGCACAAATTTGTACCTGTTCTCTCTTAATTAATCAAATTTCTGCTTTCCTTGGCCAAACTGCTCCGTTTTTTTCCTTGATTATAAACAGCACCAGTGTTTCTTTGTTGAAATCATTGTTTCACCGTTAATAAACTGGTTATTTTTCCTGGAATAAACCAAACCACTGTTCTTTCCCCCACCCCTCCTTTCTTTTAGGCCTTCTCAGTATTTTTTGTTTGTGTAGCATTCACATCCAATATAATCTGTCTGCTCTTCATACCAATCCAGTGGCTGTTTTTTGCTGCCAGCACCTATGTTTGGGTACAGTATGTCTGGCACACAGGTAGGTCACTGTTCTTTATTTACAACTTCCTGATTCAAAGGCATCTCACAGCTTTTAGTAAGGTGCATTTTATTACCACATTTATTTTAATGCAGTTTTTGTTGCAGTTAAAAGTGTTCTTTTTGCTTTTTGGTTTGCACTTGATGCACATCTGGGTGCATTTTAAATAATGGGTAACTGAAGGGGTATAAACAGGAATTCCAGAGCAGTTAAATACTTTCCTGACTTCAGAATTCTCCTGCAGCAATTCAATAAATACAGAGCACAGTGTTATGTTCTTCCTACTGGTCAATTAGTGTGCTATTTGGTTATTAATGTTAAAATATTAGTTGTTTTAGTGGTCATAGTTTAAATTTTTATTAGCCAAATCTTTGTGTCAGCTGGATTTAGTTTCTGAGAAAAAGGCTGGTGATACCAGTGCCTGCCCTGACAGTTTGAGACAAATATGGAGAATTCTTCTCCCTCTCTGCTGCCCTTTTTTTCCTTAGTTGTTTGGGTTTGTTTTAATAAATCCTTGGGTTTGGATGAAGCAGTTGAACTGGGGGGGGAGATGGTTTAGTTTGCAAGAGCACTGTTGCGTATCTTGCCCAAAATAAAAGGATTTTAGGAATAAAACTTGATTTTTTTTTTTTTTTAATTTGTTTTTTTAGAGGTAGCTTTTCACTACCCAAATCCTTGGGATCTGAGGCTTTTGTAGTGTTTCCTGTTAGACTTGCCATGAGACCCCAGGAGTTTGCAGGGTAGTGTGGATCATTTCTCAGTCAGCTTTCTGACAACTTAGTCATTTCTAATAATGGCACTGTGGGAGCTGATGGAAGGTGCTGTGAACCAGTTGTTGCCCAATTTCAAATACGTGGAGAATCTGGAGTTATTTTTAGAATTGTATTAATGTGTTAAAGCGTTATCTGAAGTTGTTCAGGGTTGATGATTAGAAACCCTAAAGGGAAAAACCTGATGGGCCAGATTTAGCTGTAGCTATTGAGATTGTTTAATATGTTAATTCATGACACTGTTAGGAATTATTCTTTTTAAATGCTCGTTTAAGTCGATGGGAACTTGCTCTTTTTAGGTTATGATCTTTTTAGGTGGAATCTTTAAGGTCCCTTCCAACCCAAACCATTCCATGGTTCTGGGTGCACGTTGCTGAAACCTTGAGTCCCTTTAAGCTGACAATTTGTCCCACAGGTTTTTCATTTCTGATGATTTCAGGGCCTCAGATTAATGCTATTTCAGTTTCAAATTTGAGACCTCTTTGCAAACCAACACACAGTATGTTGAATGTAATCAAGAACTTGGTTTGTTTACAAGAGCCTGGAGTGACAATATTGGGAAGGAAGGGTGGGCAGGCCCTGGCACAGGTTGCCCAGAGAAGCTGTGGCTGCCCCTGGATCCCTGGAAGTGTCCAAGGCCAGGTTGGACGGGGCTTGGAGCAACCTGGGCTGGTGGAAGGTGTCCCTGCCCATGGCAGGGAGTGGAACTGGGTGATCTTTAACTTCCCTTCCAACCCAAACCATTCTGTGATTGTTTTTATGAAGCTCACAACTGGTGTTGATCTGTGGAAATCTGCAGCCCCAGTGGCATTTTCCACTGGCCAAGAGCTTTAAGAGCTCAGTTTTGCTTGACTCCTCTTTTACATCCTCCCCACTAGTGCTGGAGGGATAAGTGACTCCAGTGTCCCAAGTGTTCCCTGACGGGGAGTTTTGAGTTGCAGAGTGTTCTCTGCATGACTGTATATGGAGTAACCAGTGCTGGGCTTACTCACTGTTTTCTCAGCTGATTTGCTCACTGCTGCTACTCAGATATACCCAACTTGGAGTGAGAAAGTAGTCCAAGCTCCCCACTTCTGACTCAAAGACCATGAGCTGTACCATTACCTCATCTTGTGCAGTTTCTTCCACTTGTGTTCCTTGTGCCAACCTATTTCATTAGCTGTGCATCTGTTATTTTTCACTGAGGCCTTATAAAAGTAATAAAACAAGATAAGGAGTGAAAAGTTTACATTGGTGTAAAATAGAGATGACCTAGATACTTTATTCTGAAGGAGAAACCTCTTAAGGTTCCCTATATATCTGTCTGAAAATCTCCCTTGACTTTTGGAATGTTTCAAAAACAGCTTTAAAATATTTGCTGATTATAATATGTTACTAAAGTGTTTCTCTCTCGTTTCTTTTTCTCTCAATAGAGAGGGGGGTGTGCTTACCAACAGTATCACTGTGGATACTTTTTGTTTATATTGAAGCAGCCATTAGATTTAAAGACTTAAAAAATTTCCACGTAGACCTTTGTCGTCCATTTGCAGCACACTGGTAAGTGGGTCTTTTTTTCTCCTTTTCTTATTAACCTTTCTTTCACCAGGAAAATTAATCGTCAGGGCTTTTTATTTTGGTTCAGGGTTTGGCTGTCACTAAATATTCCATGAGAAATGTATGTAAACGTGGGCCCAGGGTAACCCTCCTGAGCATACAGTGTTTGTGAGCTGTAGGGAATTTGTAGCATGGATATTCCAAGCATTTCTTGAAAATTCTTGCCATCACTTTACAAAGTTTGTGTTCACATAGTGAATACATGGTGATAAAAGTTACAAAAGAAATAGGTTTCCCTGATAATTTATGAAATTGTTATGGAAATCTTCTTTCTCTGTGACAAAGCACTCTTCTTTTTCCCTGAGAAAGGTTCTCATGAGTGTCTGATTTAATAATGCACCAGAAGCTGTGAATAAGCTTCATGTTGAAAATCATGACAGAAAATAAAACAGAAAAAAACCCAAACACAATTTATTACAACTCTTCTTTGAAGGTGAGAAGAGTGATTTCAGGACAAAGCCTTAACTGCAGAGTATCCATCTCTGGAAGAAATGCACTTTTATTCCACAGTTTTTGGTGTAGTATGCACTGATCTACATTTAAAATGTCTCCTGTTTTTCCTGGAATCCTTTGGTCCAGTTCCCTGTGACACTTCTCCCCTAAATTAGACATCTGTCATTTTAATTTATATTGTCTCCATTGTGCAACAGATCCCTAAACACCAATTGCATTCTGTAATAGGTTGCAAAAGCACTTTAGGGGCTGTGAGGGAAGGTCTTTCTGCTGCTGAATTGGATGCAAACATTTGAGCTTGTCATCAGAGTTTGGGAGCTGCAGCCACAGCTGGTTTTACATGACATTACAAAAGAGGCATTGGCAGAGATAATGTCAGATGCAGATGCAAATGATTCTGGCAGCTCACTTAGAAATACAATTAGCACAGGGCTGTGACTGAGAAGGTTTTAGTGGTTAATAGTCATCTGGTTAATAGCCATCTGTATCTGAGTTTTCCCGTGATTTAGGACACCTTCAGTGTTTAAAACACGACTGTGCTTTGGGAAAACTCTTGTCAGACATGTATTTATTTTTATTGATTTATGTTTGCTCCTTGATGGAGCACCTCTGTTAATAGATACAGGGCATGATTTGTTAGCATTCTGTGTTGGTGCAGTTGTCACAAGCTAATAAGAACACTTAAATTCTCTGTGATGAAGCTGATATGCAAAAATACCATTCCAAAGTTCTGTCGTTCCCATCAACGAACGGAACAGCCAAGCCTGGCTGGAAGTGAAATTCTTCATGTCTTACCTGTCAGTGAGAGAAGTGGAAGAACTAAGTTTAGGGATTAGATGGTTTTTGCCTCCAGCTTCAAGGTCAGTCTCCTAAATGAGGAATCTGCAAAGACCGTTTCTTGCCCACAGAAGATGTTTTTGCCGCTGAGGCTTTGCCTCCGTGGTCCCCTTTAGCTGTGCCAGGGGTGGCTGGTCACAGCCTTGGTCCCCCCAGGAGTGTTGTAGACCCAAAGCTCTGTGTTCCAGCAGCTTCTCCAGCTCCTGTTTCTCAGAAAGAGTCACAGGGCCTCTTGCAGAGGAGGTGTTTTGGAGAATGTTGTTTTGTCTCAGCTTCGAAGAGCGGTGGAAAAGGGATCTGCTCTTACCTTCTGTGTGTGTAAGGATGGGGCTAAGGATGTTTTCCTTTCCCTGTTCTGGATGAATGTTGTTAAAGTATCTCCCAGTTTAATGTCTTGCACATTACACAGCCCTTTAGGAACAAAACCTGGGATCTACTGCTGTATTTGCTGTTATTTCCTTAAAAGATGTGTAATTCTAGTCTGATGCTGGTCTGAGAGCTGTCTTTGCTATGCCTGGTGCAATTGCATTGTTGTAATCCTTTAATCTATGCTACAGTTAATTGCTGTCTGTAATGAACTGTCATTTTATCTTGATAAAGAGCTGCCTACATTTTTGAACTGCAGCTTTATTGTAGTACCTCAGAAACCATTTTACGTATCATTGTCTGTGAAAAGTTGTAACCCACATGTATCCACAGCTACATCACTTATTAATTTGCTATTGTGGTTAACAGTTTGAGTAATAATTGGTTTGGTTTTTTTTTCTTTTTTTAGTATTGGCTACCCTGTTGTGACTTTGGGCTTTGGCTTTAAAAGTTACGTCAGCTACAAAATGCGTTTAAGAAAACAGAAAGAAGTGCAGAAGGAGAACGAGTTCTACATGCAGCTCCTGCAGCAAGCACTGCCCCCAGAGCAGCAGATGCTGCAAAGGCAAGAGAGGGAGGCAGAGGAAGGCAAGTTACACTTCTTACTTCATGTGTTTTCTATTTTCTGCTCTTTAAAGAAAAGACAAACACCAAACGTGCTAAGGAAGAGCTTCTTCAGCCCGTGTTGTTTTGCTGCAAGTGCAGTGAACTTAGAGCCAAAAATAAAATAACTTTGGCAGTGGTTAATATGACAGGAGAAGTGAATTATGTCCCCTCTGCTTAGTTCTTTACTAGCAACTGCATTAATCTGGTCAGGCAGTGTTCTATGAAGCATTAGTATTTATTATTAAATCCCTTGGTTACTGTTTCCTGCCTGTAACGAAGAAAAAAAAAGTCTTAAAATACCACGTGACTTCAGATTTTCTTTCCTAGACAGTCCCCAGTAATTATTGTTTTCTGCAGAAATGATTGACATGTACATAGTGATTTTTCTTCCTGTGTCACAAGTATTGATTGATTTAATGAACTAAGTATTTTTTTTCTCACTTTGGTGTTGCAGCAGCCAAAGGATTATCTGATATGGATTCCTCAATACTTCTGCAGCACAATGGAGGCATTCCAGCCAATAAAAAAATATCTGCAACGTTGCCAGAGCTAGAATATAGAGAAAAAGGGAAAGAAAAGGACAAGGATGCGAAGAAACACAACCTTGGAATAAATAACAATATTTTGCAACCTGTAGACTCTAAAATACAAGAAATTGAATATATGGAAAACCATATCAATAGTAAAAGATTAAATAATGATCTTGTAGGAAGTACAGAAAACCTCTTAAAAGAGGACTCATGCACTGCCTCGTCCAAAAATTACAAAAATGTCAGTGGAGTTGTGAACTCCTCACCTCGCAGTCACAGTGCAACTAATGGGAGCATCCCCTCCTCATCCACTAAAAATGAGAAAAAACAGAAATGTGCCAGCAAGAGCCCGAGCACACATAAGGACTTAATGGAAAATTGTATTCCTAATAACCAGCTAAGCAAACCAGATGCACTGGTAAGGTAAGTGTGATCTGAGCATTGTGTGATGCCTGTTTTATCCCCCCTGCTTTTCAGTACATCAGATTTTTAAATTTTGGTTTGTTTTTGTTTTTTTTTTTTTGCCTTAGAAAAATGTAATTTATGATCTCACAAAACAGAATTGTTTAGTGATGGATTAAGATCTCTGGAAGCTTTTGGGCCTTTTGGGTTCTGCTCCTGATTTTTTGTTTGATGTGCAGCCTTGAGCAAACTGCTTCCTTTCTCCCTCAGAACAGGATGCTCACCTACCTCACAGGGGTGTTGTGGGGCACAAGAAATAGCTCTGATTTGTTGACATGAGAGAAATGTGGAAAATCATCTGCTCTTAACAATTCTTCCATGGAGTGACCTTTAACTCTCTAGAGAATTCACTGGGGTTTGATGGTGCCTGAGCAGGTGTTTTGTCTTAGTTTTTTGGTTTTTGTTTTTCCTCTGAAATTGTTTTAATCTTCAGTTCACAAGTAGAGAGGCAGAGAATCAGTCACGGGGTAACTCCTTACGGTGCTGAGTTCAGGCTCTTGCTGCCTTGTTGCTTTAGGAACGGGTCACAGGGATTTAATTTAGCTCCCTGGTAAACTGCAAACATGGAAAAAGTCACATCTTTACATCTGCTCCTCTGAAGTTGAAAGAAAAGATGAATTTCTGAGGTGCAGCTCAGTATTTGCAGCATATATCCTGAGACATATGGTGTTGTCATATGTTACCAGAACAGTGCTGGTAAGAAAGAGGTGGGGTGTGACTGTTCACAATGGGATGGAGAGAAGTCTGGAGCAAAACTGTTGCACAATTATGCACTTTGCCACCATTTTCCACCTGGTTTATGCCTCTCCTATTCCTTTCAAACACTCTTTGGCCAACAAATCCTTGGTGCCCAACCTAATTGGCAGATCCAGGTTTGTTTTCCCTGCAGGTACCTTTTGATAATTGGACTTTTGACTCTGATCTGTCCCTGAGGTTTTGTGCTATGGGAATACAATCACTTCAGTGAAAATATTCTCCTTTGATAATCACACTGCCACTGATTGACATATCAGTGCCAATTAAACATCCAGGCTAATTGATACCTGATGTCTGTAGAGAAACTTGTATGCAGCAAATAAGAAACCAGCTAATCTGTGAATCAAATTCAGCCAAGATTAGTGGGATGCAGATGGCTCTGCCTTCAGCAAAGCTGCACCTAAGTACCCATGTCCAGGACTGCTGGGTTTGTGTGTTCCCATTTTTCAGTACTCTTTATATGGCTTGTTTGCTCACTGGAGAAGAGAACAGGTCAGTTCAGTTTGCTGCAGCTCAAAATATCGTTCCTAAGCCCTGAGAAAAGAGAAGGGAAGGGCTTTACAGAATGACCTGCCAGACTAAGAATTTTGTCCCATGTAGCTGTGACAAGGAAGGAGATGTAAAACTTGCATGTTTAAAATTGAAATTACACATTGAAATCTTTATATGCTCCAACATGAGCTTAGGCCAGGTGGTCACTAATTGTCCAGAGTGGGTTTTCTAAATGCAGAAGTGAGTATACAATGAACTAGATGGTGTCCTTATGGAGAATTCCAGCTCCTGTAACTCACTGGGTAAGGACAGAGTACACAATTGCCTTTGTACAGCTTAGCCTTACCCTGAAAGTGAATTAAACAACTTCAGTCTTTTGTTTGTCAAGTGTTTTTATGGGATGTGTGGGTGTGATGTGGCTGTTGTGCTACAAATTCGTGTCCCTGCTTACTGTACCCTGATTTCCCTGAGCAGGCAAGCCAGGAGCACTGGGAACACCAGCATCCTGTGCTCCCAGTTTGTTACAAACAAGGATGACTGAAAAGCATTCATGAAATCTTGTTTCTGTTCAGATTGAGCACGTAGCTCCTACACCAATGGAACTATAAACTTAACTGGCAAATTGGATGGGATGGAATGCACTTAAATTTAAAAATTCATGGTTGTTTTTCTTTTAACCCTGTCAATTATCCTGTCTCTGGAGTGTGAGGCATTTGTTCATCATCTTTTCCACTTCCAGTAGTATTACTCATTCCTGTTGTTAAACTTTTAGGCTGCATCAGTTCTGAACCCTGAAAAGGGCTGAGCGAAGTCCTGCATTTGTGTCCAGACTTTCAGATCAGATCTGCTCAGCTTCCAAATAAAGATGCTTTTTATAACCTCGTGTCCAGCAGACTCGCAGCAGGATGTCAAAACCAAGCTGCTTTCCTTTTGTGTTCACAAATGATTTCCCTGAGCTGACTAACCAGTATTAAATGTAAAATATGCCTTATGGCTGCTGGGCAATTGGGAATAACAGGGCTGCAGACAGTAAAAAATGGGACTATTGAGAACAAGAGTCTTGCAGGGTTGTTAACTTTTAAATACTTGATGTGACATTTATATACGAAAGGGTGCTGCTAATTAAGTTTTATATATATTTATATATACAATATTGCTCTTACTCGAAGCTGAGTTTTTATTTTTGTTCTGTCTGGTAGATGGTTGGTGCCTGAGTGTTTTGTTTTCTGGAGAGGGTATTTCAGAGAATATTATGTTGTGTTACTGTCATTTTGATAGGGATTCAAGAGGCTCTGTCCCTGCTGATCAGCCTTGGCAGTAATCTCAGGGGTTTTGCTGTTCCTACAGCTGAAATGAATATCTCCTTCTGAGGGATGCTGAAATCTGCTGTTTGTTTGTCAGGCACTCAATAATTGAATCTCTGTGATCTGAGCTGCTTGTTTCCCAGCACTGTGGTAATTGGGCCAGTGGAGGGATCCATTTGCTCTCCAGTGCATGGATGAACTTGGTATCCCTTTGCATTACTGTTGTTTGTCAGCAGGTACAGAACAAGTTCACTTTTTTTACCATTTCACTGTGATTTCTGAGGTGAAACAGGTTTTATTCATGGTTTAGGGGCTCAGTGTATGGAACAAGCCTGAGCTGTAATTGCTGCAGAGTTTATATTTTATATGTTCTTATTACACAGCAGTAATCATGACCTGCCTCTGCCTTTTTACACCCTGAAAAAAACACACAAAAACCTGGCAGTGCAGCTTGGCAGAAGTGTCTGTATCCACAGAGGTCTTGCCTTTGGCACATGAGGTGATGAAACAAGCTGTCTTATGTACTAATTATTCTCAGAGATAACAATGACATCTTCTGGCAGTTGGACCAAGAAAGGTATTTGTGAAGCAAGAGCTGGTCTGCCACATCTTATTTTCCTTTCCTAAAATTTTTTCTTACCTGCAAAGACAGACTTTGAAGGTTTTGATGTAAATGTATGGCCATTTGATGGTAATTATTGTACATTTTCATGCCATTGCTGGTGGCCAAGGCGTGATGCTGCTTCTTCCTCATCCCCCCCCTGCCTGAAATGGCATTAATGTACCAGAAGGCTTCCTGCTGTCAGCTGCAGTGGGATAATGGTCAGGGTTTCCTGCAAGAGGGTGGGGGTGAAGGCAAGTGCAGAACATAAAAGTAAAAGAACTGAGGATGTAAATTAGAAATCTGGGAGACAATCCTTCTTCCAGACCATTTTCAAAGCCACTGTCAACACAGTTGCTTGGACTGTTCCGAGGCAGAATAACCTTTTGAAATGCCAGCTGCTTAGATCAATGCTGTGCAGGAGAAAAATAAGTATCTTGGCTTTCTCTCTGTGGATTACTGTCTTTCTTGGTAATGAAAAATGCTCTGAGGAGCTGCGAGTACCAGCGTGTTCGTTCCAGCAGCAGCTCAGTGCTGCAGGATCACACTGGCCACTTCAAAGGAGCAGGTTCACTGCAGGGGATGCTTGTGCCAGAGCAGAACAAAGGGAAAAATGGGGCTTTGGAAAAGCATCCGAGTGCCTCCTGAGTCTTTTAGAATTTTGATTTTGCTATGAATTGTGTTTAATTCCTGTACCATGGCCAGGTGATTGTGGGATGGAGTTAACTGGATGAGTAAACTGAGCAACAGGGGTGTGTTATTCTCCAGACATCAATACTTAGGAGCATTAAGCTGAATTGAGTTGTCTTTAAGTTGATCCATCAATCTTCCCTGAAGCATTTGGAAAAATACTCAGCCTCTGAGGTGATTCCTGATTAATTCTCTTCATCAGTGAGATTAGGAATGGTATGAGGTAGTGCTGAGAGAAGAAAATGGATAAATCTGCATTTAGAGGAATGACAAACTGAAAGAATGGACCTTGGTTGTATAAACAGCACAACATCATAATTTGCAACCAAACCCTCATTTTAAAAACGGTTCTGTGTCAGAATGACTTGTAGTGTGTGCAGCGATAGAGAGAAGCATCTTCTAGAACTCAGGTTTCCTTTACTCCCCCCTCCTTTGTAAATAACTTTTCCCAATAAGCCTGGAAATAAGAGGCTTAAGCAGAAAATGAAATCATAGTAAGAATAACAGCAATTTGAAAAATGCTGGTTTATGGGGTCATTTATCATTGTAACAGCAGTACAGACTATTCCAGAGGGGAGGAGAGAAAACTCCATGCACTGGTCTGTGCTGGCAGCAGTGAAACTTTCTTTTATGGCACTGTATTGGTTTACCTTGATGATGTGCTTTTATTTTAGAAAGAGTGTTTTTAATGTCCTAATATGAGAAATGGCCTCTCCTAATGGTGGGTGGCCTGACAGACAGTGGAAGTAGTCCATGTGGTTTTGAGGGGAAACTAAATTCATGTCTTTTTTAATGAAGTTGTGTCTCTAATTGTGGCAGGGCTGGGAGAGAAACCATGTAGGAAACATTTGGTCCCTGCATTATGATGGATTGTTATCTTCCTCACTCATTTTAGGTAGTGAGGAGCATTCATTTGCTCTATAATTTGCAGAAACGTCTGCTCTGGTATTTAAAGCTGTAGCAAAACCTACAGCATAACGAAAAGAAGTAATTAAAACCTGCTAAAATCTTTCTTTAAAGCTTCCTTCTAAGCAAGGCCATCGATAGATCAGTTTTCAGTGGGTTTGTCTGGCATTGACTTGAAAAAGATTCGTTTTCTCTGTATTAATTAATTCTCTTCTGCCCCTTTTGAGTGATGTCTCCTGAATGTGCAACCCCTCCCCGAGCCTGAGCCTCACAAATTTAATATCCACAGCTCTGGTTGGCCACTGCTGCCTGTGCTGAGTGAGAAGGAAAGCTGTGGCTTCGTGGCCTCATCCGTTTCCCCCTGGTTTGGAAAGCTGGCATCCTGTGTGCTCACACTTGAATGTGCTCCCTGGATCCTGCAGGTTTCTTCCAGCACAGTCTGGAGCAGCCCCGTGAGCACTCAGGTGCAGGAATGCCACCAACCAGATGGCTTCAGGAACTTGAACTAGTGTCAATACTCTGTTGCCAAAAATACAAATTCAGCTTGTCCTGTGCCAGCACCTCTGATTTATTCAGGCTTTATCTGATCAGGGCTTCTTTTCCTGGAATACTAAATACCCAAAATAAATCCTGGTATATCTTATTTGAGCGAGTTTGACATAGTCTGAGCCATAGGGGAAAGGCTGTTTACAGCTGTCTTATTTTCAGTTATCACTTTATTGTAGACATGTATATTGAAATTACGTACAGGTACTTGTCAGTGTAAAGAGGGATTTATGTCCTTTCCTTTGCATTGTCCTACCAACCATTTTTTTTCACCTGTTTATGAAAACCTGTATTAAAACCAATCAGCTGTTGGCACACAACAGGCTGTGAGTGGTTCTTACATCTTCTTTAATCACTACTCTCTTTAATGAAAAAGTTTGCTCTTTCTAAAACACTGAGCTACTGCTTACTGGAAGATGAACTCTCATAGCTTTGCCCAACCACTGTCCAGTCTCACACCCTGAACAGGGTGACAACACACACCTAATAACACCTACAGCATCTGCTGGTGGGGTTCCATCTCTGGGTTGTGTGGCTGCAGGAATATTTGGTTGGGTTTGCAAATTCTTTTCTTTCAACAACACAGTACGAGGTGTTGGAGTTATTTTTGGACTCGCATTTGAAATGTGTATTTGCTGTGTACTGTTACTATTTGCCTACAAGTATAAGTTGATTTTTATTATTTTTTTTCTCTTTAAGGGTACATTTGACCATGGTTTGTACTACACTAAAAGGAGTTGGTCTCACCAGGAGGGCAGTTGAAGTCTAACTAAAAAGCCAGCTCAGTGCAGCAAGTGGGATCTGAGCATTTGAGTTATCTGAGTGTGTTATAGCCCAGCCACGCTCCTTTACAGGCTGTTCCTTGCTGTTAATTTACCTCTTTGGTGCAGTTTTAGCCTATTACAGACATACTTTTATGAATTTCCATAACTTTGATGATTCCACACTTAACCTCTTGATTCATTGGCACAGGATGTTCTCGTGCCTCGTGCTGTTCCATCTCTCAGTAGCCTTTTAGGCTGAGATCTTCCTGTAGTGAAGCCCAAAAGTGTTTCATGAGGAAGGCAAAAAGCTATAACCATTTATCTGTACTGCTGAGTGTCAATAAGGCCAGTTCTTTTTGGCTTTTGTGAATATTCTCCTCAAGTGTTAATGTTCAACTGCCACTAATTCTGTGGAGTCCTAGGAAATAAAACCATCTCTGTCTTCTTTATGAACATTTAAAAACTTCCAAATCAATAACTGACGGAGCAAATGAGGGTTATGTGAGAATGGCTGAGGTGTATTTGCTTTAAATAAGTACATAACACAGTTTAAAAAAAGGTTGATTAGTCACCTGTGATGTGTTTTTCTTCTAAAAATCAATAACCTTATTTTGAAAATGTGGGAGGAAATTAAAGTGAGCTGAGTGCCTCTGTTCTGAATCGTGTGTTTTATTTAACCAGTTTTTGTTGGAAATACTTTAATTAATAAGATTACATGAATCTTCAAGAACTTTCTAAAGCTACAATTCAAGTGGATAGCAGATGGTCTCTGTTCAGGAGCAATTAAAACTAAATTTACTGACTCCTGAACTGTGGATGACTTACCACGTTCTCATTATTCAACATTCACATCATGTGCTGCAAGAAAATACCAACATGTTTAGGTGAGAATTCAGCAGTATGGCCCAGAGCTCAGCTCTAGCTAACAAATTAAACTCAGGATTTGTGGAGAAAAGTAAAATTTGTCCATAAGTGGATCTGTCCTCGATTAGATCTTCTCAGACCTAAGAGAAAATATAATTCCACAGGATTTGTTTTACAACTTCGCGGTGCCCGGAGGAAACCAAACGGCTGTGGGAGGTTCTGAGGTGTGTGTATACATGGAGCTATATATAGGTGTGGTTATATAAAATGTGATTTTATAGGAAGGATGCACATCATTTCTGAGAGCTGATTGTTTGAAGTCTGGAGGTTTGGGAGGGGGGGCTGGCAGATGGTGTGAAGTTTTTACGTAACGCGCCCGAACCGTTGGGCGAGCGGAAATAAAGTTGGAATTGTCATTTTTTTAAAAGGCCTCGCCTTTCTTTCTCAGGTTGGAACAAGACATCAAGAAGCTAAAGGCTGACCTGCAGGCCAGCAGGCAGATCGAGCAGGAGCTGCGCAGTCAGATCAGTTCCCTGACCAACACAGAGCGGGGGATCCGCTCGGAAATGGGGCAGCTCCGGCAGGAAAACGAGCTCCTGCAGAACAAGTACGGCTGGGGGGGCTGGGGGCAGAGAAATCATTAATTACAGCAATAATAATGATAATAACAACCACAAGAACGAGCTCCTGCAGAACAAGTACGGCTGGGGGGGCTGGGGAAGGGAAATCATTAATTACAGCAATAATAATGATAATAACAACCACAAGAACGAG